CTGTCCCAAAAATAAATAAACATTGAAAAAAAAATTAAAATAAAGAAACACAACAAAGTAAGACTTTCTCAGTAGTAATGGCTTTACAGTGCTAGGTTCTCATAAAGTTCTCAAATACTTTAAGTGTTCATCTAAGAGATATTTATCTACATAGAAACAGAGTTGGGAGGGACTAAAGCTTATGCTTTAATATATGTCATATGTGCATGTTTTCACCTACACTCATTCCAATCTTGCAATTTAGGTATTATTATCACTACATTACAGATGACAAAATCGAAAGTGACTTAAAGGTTATATCTCTAATATAAGGTACAAGCCAGGTCTACTTTACCACTTTATGACACCATACTTTATAGACTATTATAGAAATACAGAGGAACAGACATTAATATTACTTTATATTTATAAAGCATTTAATAAATTACAAAGTGTTTCCAATATATCCTCTTATCTAACTTTAACAACAACTGCAAGTTATGCAAGGATGGGTGTTATTAGAATCTCACTTTATAGATGATGAAACTGAGGCTCAGAGAGAAATTAAGTTGACTTAAGATCACACTGATGTTCAGTTTCCTCATCTATAAAATGAGATTCTAATAACACCCATCGTGCATAACTTGCATTTGTTGTGAAAGTTAAAATAAGAGGATATATTGGATGATATATTGGAAACAGAGCTGAGATCCCAAGCCTTTTCTCAATACATCTATAGTCCTTCAAGAAAGCAAAGTCATGTTTGTAATGAGACTGGTATAAAATATAAAAGTTCAGTACTAGAAATGCAAATGTTATTGTTATTATCCTCCCACTTCAGGCCCTTAAAGTTACTAGTAATTATAAATTATTTTCCAACTAATAGTTTATGCAAAAGATTCACCAACTGTTTTTTCCATATGGTAAAGAGTTTTTACAAGTCACTTACAGGAAAGTAGGTTTCCACAATTTCAAAATTCAGAAATCCAATTATAATCCAAACCAAGAGGGTAGCAATGGAAATGACAACAATAAAAGGAACAAAGTAGCCACTGAGTTTGTCTGCAAACTGCTGGATAGGAGCCTAGAATGATAACAACAACAACAATAATAACAACACATGTATCAAGGTCTCTTTTTTGTAATAGAGTATTATTTGGTATTACACACAAATATTTAAATAAACTCCATATTAATGCAACTAGAGTTAATCAAATGAAAATATAAAAAACTAGATCAGGATTATACTGAGCACTCTTTAAAAAAAAAAATTCTTTCAGTTTCTCCTAGGGAGTTAAGTTACCTTTGATGTTTGTGCCTCTTCCACAAGTTTGACAATTTGAGAAAGTGTTGTGTCAGCTCCAACATGGGTTGCACGGATAAGTAGTGATCCATTCTGGTTAATGGAACCAGCAATCACTGTGCTGCCAGATTTCTTAGCCACTGGCATTGCCTCCCCTGTATAAAGGAGTAAAGACAGATTTAGATTTAGGGAACATTAATAAATACTATCTTGAAACATGCTGTTATTCATTAATTGTCAAAAAATATGTAGAAAAGTGATCCTTACTTCATGAAATAGAATCTGGACAAATGCCTAGGTGAAAGTTGCCCTCCCTTTTTCCTTATGTCAGTTCTGAGCCAAACCCAGGGATATATATCTTAAACTGGAAAAGCCTATTAAGGTTTTTAGGCAGACATGTCTAAAGACAATGTCTTATAGGCAGACATTTTTAAAGCTCCACCCTAGTCTTAGATCATTGGTTTTCTAAATGTTCCCAAGGAGCACTTAGAAATGTGGGAGTTCTTGTTTGTAATAACTCCCGGTGGAGCATGTGGTGCTGCTACTCCAATTTAGTGGGCCAGGGTCAGGGATACTAAGTATATTACAATGTGTAAGCAGTTCCCCAGAACTAACAATTGTCCCATCTGAATTGGCAATAGCACCCTATTGAGAAACACAGAGTCCTAAAATTATTTCCTCATAGTCCATAAGCTGAGCCTCTTCTGGAGTCATCCTGAGGGTTAAGGTATTATTTTGGTTCTGTTCTGGATCAGCCTTAGTTAGCTAAGATCTCTAAAACTACTCCAAGGCCTCCTTTCTTAGAGCAGACCCTGAGGTGGAAAACCTGGAGTCATATGCCAGCTCAGACCGGACCAGTCTTTAGGGAAGGAAAACAAAATAGGTTATTTGCTCAGGAAAATCTGCCAAAGTCTCTTGCGCTCTACATCAGAATGAGAAAACTTCCTTTCGCTACACATTCTAGTAATAAACAATCCTCAGTTAAAAAACCTTTCAGTAGCATAACTAAAAACACAAAGTAAATCTGCAGAAATTGATTTAATACAGTCTTAAAAAGAATTCATATTCTCTTTGTTCATTATTTACTCATTCCATAGTCTCTACAAAAAAGCTCTCCACTTTTTATTCCTATTTTTCATTATCACTTTGGATTCATTTTACTTTCATATCATGATCCTCTGAAAGAACATACCTGTGATAAGGGACTCATCTACCATAGAATGTCCTTCAATCACACGACCATCCACTGGAAATTTGCCTCCTGGAACCACTTTAATGATGTCTCCACGTTGTACAAGTTCCACATCCACTTGTTCTTCACTGCATATGAGTTAAAATAAAAAGCATTGAGGGGTGCCTGGGTGGTTCAGTCAGTTAAGCAGCTGACTCTTTTTTTTTTTTTTTTTAATTTTTTTCAACGCTGACATTTATTTTTGGGATGAGAGACAGAGCAGAACGGGGAGGGGCAGAGAGAGAGGGGAGACACAGAATCGGAAACAGGCTCCAGGTCAGCTCCAGACGGGGCCATCAACTCACGACCCAAGGAGATCGTGACTCCGCTGAGGAAGTCGATGAACCTGGCGCCACCCAGGCGCCCCTAAGCAACTGACTCTTGATATCGGCTCAGGTTGTGATCTTATGCTTGTGAGATTGAGCACTGCATCGGTCTCTGTGCTGAGTGTGGAGCCTGCTTGAGACTCTCTCTCTCCCTCTCTCTCTCTCTGCCCCTTCCTCCACCCTCTCTCTCAAAATAAATAATTAAAACTTTAAAAAAATATTAAAAAAAAATAAAAAGCATTGGGAAAATATGTTTCTCACCCTGATCTTTCCATGCAAGCTTGTTGGTTAATGTCAAGCTTGTAGCTCCAGAACTGCTACCAATGGAAACTAGAACTAACATTTAAGCTAGGAGCTACAATGTTAGTCCTGTTCACTGTTGGGGAATAGTTCAGTATCTGGCACAAAATAGGTACCCTATATGTTTGTTGAATAGTCATTGAATGAATAAATGAAAGCTTTAGAAAATAATGTGATGGCTTTTATTTAAGTAAACAATTTATTTATTGTGTAAATTTGCCTACATAGTTTTATGAATATACAAATGAGAAATACAAAAGAATGAAATCTTAAAAAAAAAAAGACTGAAATCTTATCAAGCCTTTAGCTCTAACTTCCAGTTTACAGATAACATAGGAGTTAGAGAACAAGTTAGATGACAACACAAGGAAGCAAAGAGTTAAATTCAGATTGTGTGATATTCTGCAGGACATCACATTGATGGATTCTTCTCTAATAAGTTAATTGCATGGCGGGGGTTGAGGGGGTGGTAGGTGGGAGTAGGAGGGTGGTAGAGAGGGAGGAGGGAGAACAAGAGGGAAGAGCTGTTTTAGATTAAAAGAAACGTGTTAGTCAAATGCATCAACATGTAGAACTTGTTTGATTTTTATTGCAAACAAAGAAACTTTCAACTTTTGGGAGACAACAAGAGAAATGTGAATATAGACTGTATAAGAGATGGTATTAAGGTATTGTTCATTTTGTTAAATGCAATATGGTAGTTAGATACATGAGAATATGTCCTTTTTTAGGAATATTTAGCAGTAAAACAATATGACTGGAATTTAAAATACTACTGCAACAACAGAAAGATATTTAGATGAAGTCTGGCCAAATGTAAATAACTCAAATCTGGGAGATAGATTAGGTGAGTTCATTATACTCTTCTACTTCTGGGTATATTTGATATTTTTTGTAAGAAGTTAAAAAGAGAAGGGGGAAGAATGAAAATAAATACCTTAAGAGAATATTATCAGAGTCAAGAGTTACAATAGTTGCTTCTGTAGCTTGTAGTGAAATTAGCTTGGCAAGAGCCTCTGATGTTTTGCCCTATAAATAAAAAACAAACATGTTAACAATACTAAGGAAGAAAAATCTCAGATTTTACCTAAAATAAAGATATAATACTTAACATTTACCCAAGAGATAATTTTAGGAATATTAATCAGTTCAAATTAGAAAAGATTTCACTTCAAAAATATGAAGTATACAAAATATAAAATATATTATTAGGCATAATTTATAAATAAATAATGTAACTTAATAAGAAAAGCATCAAGAACTCAGGTACATGAGCAAAGGACATGATTAGGAAATTCATGTAAGAAGAAATTAAATACCTGATATGTGGAAAAATGTTTATCCTTGCTATTAATGGAAGAAATGCAAAAGAAAGCAACTCTATGATACCATTTAATGCATACTAATTTAGCAAGAATTTATACAGGAGTTAATGCCAATGAAGTTGTAGTAAAACTACTTTACTAACATACTCTTGTTGATAAAAAAAATTGTTACAACTTGTAGCATGAGCCATAAAAAGATTTATGCTCTTTACTCATATACTTTATAATTTATCCTAAGATACTAATTCAATAGAAATTACTATTAAACATGAATATGTTTAATGCAAGATTATCTAAAATTTAAAACTGGAAACAGTCTAATTGAGAACAAAACAGGAATGGTTTAGTTGAGTGACAGCACAATGATTTGCCAGAATATGATTCAGAAAATACCAAATAATTATCTAGACTGCAAAATGGGGAAAAAGCTGTATAATGTTAAGGATACAAACTGGTATGTACACTATGTTTGCCACTCTAAAATATAAAGGTATCTCGAGCAGAATTAGAAAGTAATTTCCATTATAGTATGGGATTATGGGTGAATATTCTTTCCATCATTATTTTAAATCCTGTGGTCACATCAATTTTCCCATTAACAATGTGATATAAATAAATATTTATCAAATGTCTCTCTGTTTAAATCTCATGTTTAAATGAACATGGATGTACTATACTATCTACAGTATTAATTCCATAAATTTGGTAAATCTTCTAAAGGAAGATTTAACTTAAAATATTACCAAAACAGAAGTACTTCTTTTGTTAACTATATAAATCAATGCATATTTCCAATAATTGGACTCGAAAATATTACAATCATTTATCTACCCAAGATTTTAACAAACGTCACCCGTTCTTACTTTACCTTTGCTATATGTTCCAGCCACCGGCCTAGTGCAATAAAGACAAATAGCATAGGAGGTGTGTCAAAGAAAGTAATAGGGTTTACTTTGGCTCTTTCATACATTGCAACCAGAAGAATAACCAAAGAGTAGGCAAATGCAATGGTGGTTGCCAGCACAATCAGTACATCCATATTTGCAGTTTTATGCTTCAGGGCTCTATACGCCTGAATGTAGAAGTACCAGCCTCCAAAAAACTGTAATACAGAAACAATAATTACTGCTTTTTAAAAAAATGCTGAAATCCAAATGTTTATCTCAGTAACAAAGATACAGTAATAATGTTCATTTCCTTTGACTTTTATCTAATCCAGCAACACTAAGGAAAGATTTTAAGCTGAAACAATAGTGTCCGTATTTTAGCAGGTATGTGCATGTAGGGATTCAAATTGCTGTAGAAGCTCTTGGCAGCTGTCCTCTATGATCCAATGGATATTCCATAATATAAAGAAAGATAATTCTTGGATTATTCTTTTAGATGCTAGCAAAAACAAGAACTAAGAAAAAAAAAGAACTAAGAAAAAAATTACATTTTTTGACAAGGGCTTTTTATGGAAAACTCTGTTCCCCCTATCCAAAATGCAACCTAAGTGTATATCACAAGCTACTGGAACTGCTGGCTGTTTTCATTGGTATACATAACTGTAAGCTTATTTTTCATTAGTATAGAGAAACACACTAAGATTTTCTTAAAATCATCATAACTTTTTATAAGAATCAGAAAAAGGAATAGATTTATTAGATAGAAGTGTTCTACAGTAAAAGTTTATCTCAAAAGAAGAGTTGAAAACATACAGAAAATAATGAACTTCAGTGCTAGGGAGAAATAATAAAAATAATAACATAATATTATAATTGCCACCATTATTTTAGTTTATATAATTAATAATTAAGTAACATTTAATATACTAATGTGAATATAATTAATTTTAATATATTTAATATGGAATATTAAGTGCAAATATAGATAAATAAAATATAATCTATTTTATTATAGCTTTAAATATACAATTATATACAATAGCAGATATGAATGCTAAATTCATATCTAAATATGAATTGAGCTTATTCTCGGCTTTGCCATTAAATAGTATCCTTAAGAGTTAAATGGAATTTATTATCTACTTTAACCACTCAATTTAAGATTATTTTTATAAAGCATCCACAGCATAAAATGATCCAACTTCTGACTGATACCTGTTTTGCAACTGAAAATAGCCTTTCCTGTCACATTTTGCTGTTTTACATTATTAACATACATCCTTGCTAACATTTCACTTGCCTGTACAGGTACACACAACAAAAAGGATAGCAAATTCATAATGGACAGTCCTGGCAGGATCTGGCGCTCCAGGAACATAGAAGAAGAATGAATGTTGATCATTTCTTCTTGACTCATGCTCTGATTATGGTGAAGAGTTGCAAGATGGTGGTCCATAACCATCATATATATCATCAGCCCCATGACAGGAATACAGAAAAAGAGGCTCACAAGGAAGGACCGTCTCCACCTCACGTAGAAAAGAAAAATCATTTGAATAAGTAGCTTATGGTTAAAGAGTCTACATAGTACAGAGAAATACAAATTGTGACCACTCCACCCGACATAAGGATGCCACTGTAAAAACTAACATGCCAACAGGATGTTAAATTTATAACAAGGAGTCAAAATCTGTTTTTCACTGACACACCAAAAGCACTTGTTTCTTACTGACACACCAAAAGCACTTACTGTCTTATTTCTCGTTTATGGTCCAGGTGGCTTGCTGACCGATCCTTTTTGACCAAAGAAGCTTCAAAACCTAAGCTCTAAGGAAATTCATGAGAAAACAATTATTTCACTGAATGTATAAATATTATATAGAGAAATTCTAAGTCATGGTATTGTCATTAAGTACAATTCAACTCAATTACTGAGTGCAAGGCACTCTGGGGAATATAAAGATGAAGATGTGCTTCCTTAATTACTTGTGTTTATAATCTTCCTTCAAAGAAATGAATATTTCCCCAATTCTAGTTAATGTCTATCCTACTGCTCTCAAACTAATGATTTAACTCAAGTGCAGTTGCCCTCACTAGAGATTCTTATTACACCAAAAAGTAAGCTAAAGCCTCCACTAAGTGATTTTAGAAAAAAAGCAGAATCTGTCACGTGGTCAGGCTGACAGAGTGTTTGATGATGTAATAAAGACAGAATTCAATAGTAAAATCATAAATCTTACATTTAGATAAGAGTCATCCACTAGTATTGATGTACATTAATCATTTCTTCTAAATTTTAGCTTTGACAGCTGTCCATCCCTCCCCTGAACAAGTACAGAAAACTGAATAATAGGCCACAAAAACTAGCACCATATTAAATATATTATTCAAGGCTTTGCATATGTTGGCTTTACTCTTGTTCTATCAGAAAAAAAGAACACGAACAAAAATTTTCTTGAATAAGACAAAGTATTAAAGAAAACTACACATAAGTAAGACTCATATGTGCATAGACAGTAACATACACTATATTTTCAACTGCTAAGAAAAATGCTGTCATCTTACATTTGTTGGAAATGTAGCACAGTGAAAAAAGCAACCGTGAAATTTGGGGTCAGAAAGAACAGACTCAAATCCCAGCTATGACACTTACTACCTATGTGACTTTGGGCAAGTAACTTAACTTCTCTCAACCTGAGTTTCTCCACCACCAAAATGAAGATGAGAGCACTGTTGTGAGAATTAAATTAAGAGTTGAAGCTTTGCAATCTTGGAAACTGGCTCAAAGTAGATACTTGATAATGCTAGCTTCACAAGATGTTAATGGTATTATTATCTATAGTAATAGGATCTTATCTGAACTATTAATATCTTCTGATCATGATAACACCAAGGCTATACCACATTAAAGTTTTTAAGGCACTCTCACATGTACTACTACCCACTGAAGATTTATTGAAGAACACAGGGTAAATTTGCTACCAAGACAAGAGTTTGGTCTTTTAAATTTCTTACGTTAACTTAAAAATACATCATTTGCAAGGAGAATCAGACCTATTAATACAGAGAGCAATCTGATGGTTGCCAGAGGGGAGGTAGGTGGGAGATGGGTAAAATGGGTGAAGAGGAGTGGGAGATATAGGCTTCCAGTTATGGAATGAGTAAGTCATGGGAATAAAAGGCACAGTATAGGGAATACTGTCAATGGTATTGCAATAACATTGTATGGTGACAGGTGGTAGCTACACTTGTGGTGAGCACAGCATAACTATGGAGTTGTTGAATCACTATGTTGTATACCTTAATGTAACATCATTGTGACAACTATACTCAAATTTAAAAAAAAAAAATACATCATTTGCTTTGACCTAACAAACAACAAAGCATGTAGCATGATGCTTTGCTTTCTTAGTGATTAATTAATCTTACAACAAATTGTACTTTACTTCCATTTTCTAAATATTTTTAAATGATTTGTGATTCTACCTTCAGTCTGCTCCTGATTAATAGTGCCAACATGCCTTTGCCTAACTCTTCCTGACAAAGACCAAGGAAAACAAAAGGGTATAAACACACATTAAATTTGAGACAGATGTTATTGAGAGTAATCAAAGGGGCCAGATCTTGTTTACTGTTTCTATCTGATACAAACCAGAAGTGATTCAACAGAGGGCTGACTGAATAGGTAAGACATAGAAATGCAAAGTCTTAACACTTACTTCAACTGTATGGATAATATCCCTGGGACCAATAATTTCTGGGTCATACTTAATATGTGCTTTGTTGGTTGCCAAGGCCACAGAACAGTAGAAGATCCCTCTGTGTTTTGTGAGGATAGACTCTATTTTATGTACACAGGAGGCACACGTCATTCCTCTCACCTGTTAAAGACAAAGGTTTTGTTATTCAGAAATCTACTTTTTCTTCTATTAAACATGACTTGTAACATGGGATTAACACACAAGATCTTATCTGCACTATTAATATACTTTAGAAAATTGTATTAGAATGCTATTTTTATATAAAACTACATTGAACAAAGATATGGTCCCAGCTGCAACAGGTTAAACAGAAAAGGATCTCACTAAGTCTCCCTCCTCCTGTCACTAGTGATAGAGTATTTGACATCTATTGATTCTTGTATTAAATGTCATGCTTCCCTATAGATTTTTTAGCCGTTAGTATTACTTTTAGTGAAGGTTAATGGATGACAAAAGTGTTATACCTTTGTCTAAAAATGCATTTTGCCTTATGTCTTAGGTGAGGTAACAGTTCAGCTGGGTATTAAATTCTAAAATGGAGTAGCAGAACTTCTGGAATGACCGTGTGTGGAGCTCAACAAATCCTTTTCCCAAAAAGCAATGATAAAATTGGACAAAAGCTTCAAAAAACAACCATTTAAAGACTCTGGTAAATAACTAAAGAGTATAACAAGTAAATAACTAAAGAGTACAACAAATTACAAAGCATTTATTCAAGAATATGTACTGAAAGAATACCAGTAATGGTAAAGATCTTTGAAAATTCTCCCCTCCATAAAAGCAATAAGAAAACTGGAAAAAACAACAAACTTTTTCGGAAACTGAAATTACATAAAAGCTTTCAGCAATACAGGAAGCATTTATTCAAGAGAATCAGATGAAACCCAATGAAACAGCAAGCTATGTGCTATTATATATATTATAATTTTCCTTCTTCTCATCTCCTCCCCTCCAGCTCTGTGGTGGCCATGAAGACCAGCAGCCCACAGTGATGGTGAAAAACAGCATCAGGGAAGCCACCAGAGAGAGCAGAAAATGGTTGGAGCTCCTTCAAAGCCTCATTACTAGGGAACTGTTATTATATGATCTGACTGATGGTTCTCTGAAATATCCCACTTGCAAAGATGTCTGTGTTTGCCCTGACTGGAGCTCAGCGAATTCCCTGGGAGAATTTGTCAAAACAATTCAAGGTAATTATTAATCTTGTGGCTACCTAAGGCAAGGGATAACAGTTGGGGCAAACAATAGGCTAACCAAAAAGCCTAAAAAGGAAAAACTGGGAAGCAAGATATATATACATAAGAACTCCAACATATTCTAAAAATCTAGAAGGCCATTCATTCACATGCATAGGGTTGTACATGTCCAAGACTATGCATACTCAGACCTAAAAGGTCCTAACCTCTCACCTCAGGCTGACCAGTAGACTCTGTAGAAGCAGGAAGTAAAGACTAAGGCAATTGACAACTGCATAGCTTGGTGTTGAAGGCATGCACAGAGATCCTCAGCAAAGACTGGGAGATTTATTGGTTCCAAGTATTTAAGTAAATCTCTGTCCAATCATTAGCTGACCACTGAGCTAATCAAGCAGAAACTTCAGTGGCCACACATTAACAAAGAATATAAATTTTATAGAATTATTTCATAAACGTCACTAAACAATAACAATGGCAAATAGCAACAACAACAAACCCTAAGGAGTGGAAAATAACTTTATTTCCAGAGTTGCTACATATTTCCAACAAATAATTGTGAGACATGTGATGAAACAAGAAAGTACGGTCCATATAAAGGGAAAAAAGCAATCAACAGAAATTGTCTCTAAGGAAGCCCAGACATTGGACTTACTAGACAAAGATGTTAAATCAGGTACTGAAAATATATTCAATGAACTAAAAAAAAAACCCATGTCTAAAGAATTAAAGGAAAATATGAGAACAATGTCTAACCAAAAATAATATCAATAAAGAGAGAGAGATTATTGAAAAGGCCCAATGGACAGTCTGGATTAAAAAGTATAATACCTGAAATGAAAGCATTACTTAGAGGGAAATGTGTAGTTGTAAATGCCAATATTAAAAAATAAGATCTCAAATAAATGACCTAACCTTCCACCTTAAGGAACTAGACAAGAAGAGCAAACTAAACGTAAAGCAAGCAAAGGGAAGAAAATTAAAAATGAAAGTGGAAATTCACAAAAGAGAGAACAGAGAAAATTAACAAAACCAAAAATTGTTTGTCTGAAAAGGCTGACAAAATTGACAAAATTTGGCTAGACTGAACAAGGAGAAAAATAAAGAAGACTCAAATGCTTAATATCAAGAATGAAGAGTGACATGAGGTTTCTTTTTTGGGTTGACAAAAATGTTTTAAAATTAGATACAGTGATAATTGCAACTCTGTGGATATACAAAAACTACTGAATTAGGGGAACCTGGGGGGCTCAGTCAGTTAAGCATCTGACTTCAGCTCAGGTCATGATCTCATAGTTCGTGAGTTCAAGCCCCACATCAGGCTCCATGCTGACAGCTCAGAGCCTGGAGCCTGCTTCGGATTCTGCATCTCCCTCTCTCTCTGCCCCTCCCCGGCTCACACTCTGTCTCTCTCTCCAAAATGAATAAACATAAATTTTTTTTAAAAAAAACACTGAATCGTACACTTAAAGCATGAGTTTTATGGTATGTGAATAATATTTCAATAAAGCTATTAATTGTCAGAAGTCTTTAAAAAATAAAAGCCCATGGGGGTGCCTGCCTGGATCAGTTGGTGAAGTATGCAGCTCTTGATCTCGGGATTATGGGTTCAAACCCCATGTTGGGTGTAGAGATTAATTAAAAATAAAATCTTTTAGGGGCACCTGAGTGGCTCAGTCAGTTAAGCGGCCAACTTCAGCTCAGGTCATGATCTCGCGGTCTGTAAGTTCGAGTCCCGCGTCAGGCTCTGTGCTGACAGCTCAGAGCCTGGAACCTGTTTCAGATTCTGTGTCTCCCTCTCTCTGACCCTCCCCGATTCATGCTCTGTCTCTCTCTGTCTCAAAAATAAATAAACGTTAAAAAAAATTTTTTTAATAAAATCTTTAAAAATTTTTAAGTATTTAAAATTTTTAAATTTAAAATGTTAATACTACCCATAGCTATCTACACATTCAATGCAATCCCAATCAAAATTGCACCAGCATTCTTCTCAAAGCTAGAACA